GTGTAGCCTGGCGTAGAGGTGCAGGGCTGGCTGGGAATTGCCTCAAAATGACATCACCTTTTCACAGGACCAAATCTGGGGAGGGGAAGCAGAAAGCAGATGCCCAATTCAGACCCAGCATTCCTCACTGAAGAGCTGGGTGTGATCACCTCCACTGCAGTGCCTGAGGTCAACATAAAAAGGACATGGAACTGTTGGAACAAGTCCAGAGAAGGGCCACGAGGATGATCAGGGGACTGGAGCACCTCCCGTATGAAGACAGGCTGAGGAAGTTGGGGCTGTTCAGCCTGGAGAAGAGAAGGCTGCGTGGAGACCTCATAGCAGCCTTCCAGTATCTGAAGGGGGCCTATAGGGATGCTGGGGAGGGACTCTTCATTAGAGACTGTAGTGACAGGACAAGGGGTAACAGGTTAAAACTTAAAACAGGGGAAGTTTAGATTGGATATAAGGAAGAAATTCTTTACTGTGAGGGTGGTGAGGCACTGGAATGGGTTGCCCAGGGAAGTTGTGAATGCTCCATCCCTGGCAGTGTTCAAGGTCAGGTTGTACAGAGCCTTGGGTGACATGGTTTAGCATGAGGTGTCCCTGCCCATGGCAGGGGGGTTGGAACTTGATGATCTTAAGGTCCTTTCCAACCCTAACTGTTCTATGATTCTACGAAGGACCATAACCATCAGTGCTGGTTACACAGGTCAGCTCCATGGTGCTGGCCACTCACAGATCATCTCGGGCATGATCACTGGGATGTGACTGATGGCTTTGAGCATGTGATGGCGGTGTTTGAGGATGAGTAAGAAGCAACCACTAGCATGGGGGGTGAGGTTGATGCATGTCAGCATAGCAAAGCTTTGTTTTACAATTTAAACTGTAAAAGAAGGTACCATTATCACTGTATCCTTGCCATGAAAGAAGAAAAGGAGAACAGACAGAAAAAGAAAGAACTCTAATTTTAAGCGAAGAGTTAAAATGTGGGGTTTCATGATACCTTTTCAAAACTGACTGAAGAACTAGACTGCTCCTGAGCTTCCTCTAGATGCAGAGAAACCCCTCATAAACTTCCTAGGAGCACTCGTTAATGGAGTATTAGCATTAGCTGTCTTGTAGGTTTGGAACATTCTACTACATTTCTGCATTTTTAGTTAAAGTGCCACAGATTTGCCCCCAGGTGACGGAGGGTCCCATGTGTGGCTGAAGATCCCAAGTCCTAGTTCTCGTAAGTAAATTCAAGGCCTTGATTTCAGCTGCCAGTTTGGAAGCTGAAAATTCAAAGCTTCCGTGTTTAAGCTTTCAAAGGAAATTGGAGAAGTGAAAATGTGAGGTTTCTTTTTTTTTTTTTTTCCATTTCTATTCTGAAATTTGAAACAGCTGCTATGAAATGTTTATAACTATACATAGTGCTCAATAAATGTCCAAACCTGGAAGGAACTATGCATGAATTATGTCTGATTTATACATTAAATAAAAATAGAAAGAGCCAGTTGAATTTTAAATGTTCTTCCTCCATTCAGTAAGCCTTGAAATTACGATGTCTATAGAATACTGCCTGCAAAAACATCTAATGCATTGCACATACCATATCAAAATATTTTAAAAGCATTCCAAGAGTTTATCGTATAAGGCAAACACTGGGACCCAATTAAACCTTCTTAAATTGGCTTTTCATAGGGAAAATTATTGGAAAATTATTTTAAGCTCACCCCACAATACGCAGACCAAGATTAACCATAACAAAAGGTCTGAGCTGCCAGTAATTGCTGCAAGTAATTGTAGTTGGGCAGGTCAATAAACCCACTGGGCCTGTAACTCAGCCCTCAGGAACCAGAGCCCAGCAGTGAGGCAGAACAGCCCCCCTGCCCAGCCCTGGACCCTGGCCATGAGGGGCAGATCCTAGGGCTGCTCTGAAAAGGACAGATCTTCACCTAACCTCCGTTTGGGGAAATGAAGCGTGTCTGATTACAGTATCTTTGCACAGGTGGGAGCAGGGCCACATTATGACTCTGACCCCAGACTCTGCTTGACCCTGTGCCAACCAGGACTGACAGCCTTCCGAAATGGGGAAAAAAACTGGGGACTCTGGTGCTTCTAAACACCTGTTGCTCCTGCCCCTGATGAAGAGAGCCCTGCTTTTTAGAACAGGCTTCATGGAGCTGAAGTTCAGCTTTCATATTGGGTACAAATGAGCCAATAAGTCATACTATTTTGTTTACTCTGTAATACCCCTCAGAAGACATGTGAGGCTAACACTTAAAAAGCAGTGTCATTATATATCTTTATTTAGTCACAAGATACTTTGGTAGATACTTTTGCTGCTTCTTTAGAGGTCTGTTTTTAAACTGCAGATATGCTCCAGTCACACTTACTGATTTAACACTGAAGTGATAATAGCTATCCTGTTTGACCCTAGGGAGTGAAGATATTTAATATTTTGTCTTTCAGTTTATTACCCAACCCAGGCAAACAAAGCAAAATAAATCCATTAAATTGTAATTTTTAGAAGAGCATTCCCAGGTTGTTTTTTTTTTTAGCTAAATCACAATTTTGCAATTACCGTGATCGTTACAAACATCTTAGCCTTGCTCAAGATCATCCACGTGTATCAAAATAAAATATTCCCATCCCAATTTTATGGTACAGCTCTGTTAGAAAAATATTTCAGAGAAACTACAGAATCAAACCAAAACCTTGAAGTTTAACTCACTGAACAACAGAGGTAGTTTAGATTTATTTCAGCTGTCTCCCCTGCTGCTCTATACATAACAGAAGTGCTTCCCAACTCTCCTTGTCATCTCAGTCCTTCCTTGCTGTGTGCTCTTCCCACCAGTGCTCTATGTACCCCCCCAATATTACAGCAGCTGAAAATTTCCTAGATGGTACCCCCAAAATAAAGCAAAGTAGGTGAGGACATGCCCTGGGAGATATGTGCGTATTTCTACCCACCATCATACTTTCGTAGAGGTGGGCACAGACCGGCTGGCTCACCCGCTGACCCAAAGTCACTGACAGTGTGTCACTGTGTTCCTAAGTGGGTGTCTGCCTCTTTGGCTGGGGGGAAGCAGCAGGCAAGGCACAGGGCGCTGGGCCCATCATCCCCTTGCCTCACCTCCTCCAAAAGCTGGTTTGTCTTAACTAGGGCCAGCTAGATCTGGGATATCAGTTTATGCTCATGCCCTTGTAATGAGCCCCAAGAAAACTGCAGGAGTGGCGCTGGCACACATGATGGTTTGTGCTCACACAGGATCGATCCTTTTACTGCAGACATGCCCAAAGTCTGGAGCTGCTGGTACAACAGCCAGCAATATAACTAAGTGTCTCCACATAGGACATGACCAAGTTTACGTGCCGAGGGTAGAAGAGGATAACTGCCTTGCAGCCAGTCTTTGCCAACAAGCAGATGAATCACTGCAGTGCCTCAGGGAGCTGCAACTGAATTGTCTTGGGAAACCAACACACAGACATATCATGTTATTGCTTACCATTTCCACCCCATGCCTGAATTACCTGACAACATGGAAGTAAGTTAATATAGCCATGTAAACACCAAACTCCATTTGAGACACAGACCACACTTGAAGCCCTCGTTCCATGTAAGGACCACCTGCTTCTCCTGACCAAGAAGAAACACGTGAGCAGGAAACACTCTCCAAACCTGCTGGGCCCTTTTACAGAGCTACATAAACCTGCAGCCCCACCATGTGCATAACAGCTTACTACAAAACTGGGAGGAAAAAGGAGATGAAGCCATCCCACTCTACAGCTTCAGCACAGGACAAATAGAACCAGTAGGTTTGAATGTTTCCCTGCTAAGCTAAAGAGCTGTAGTGAGTCGCTGGCACTGCTCCAGAGGATTTCTGCCTGCACAATCATAATTTGTATTTTACCCTTTAATGTTAACAGTGTTTTCATACTACACATTTCTCTTAAGATAAAAAACCCAAACAATGAACTTTTAGTAATGCTCACTCTGGGCCTTCCCTTGTTCTTCTGCTATCTGTTGGTGGTTTTGCCACTGACAACAAAAAAGGAGGACCAGAGCCTTTAATGCCCTACTTTTAAGTGTTAATACATTTACAGAAGACTATACAAACAAGCGCCAAACAGCAATTACACATTACTAGAGCTACACAATATCTGTACATGTTGCTAAAACAATGCTGCTAAATGAAGAAGCTTTATTAGTTCAGAGGTTTTGGCTGCTGTTATTAAAAATATAATACCTGAAAGGAAATCCAAGTATTTCATTTTACGAACAATTTAAAATATAGCAGTAAGCAACATAAACTATTGCTTTTTATGTTTATACAATTTTTTGGCATAACACTGCCATACAGTTACAGGATTATAAAATATATCTTTATAGTGCATTACAAATCCAGAAACTGGTTACCACTCCTACCACATACATATGGTATTGGTACTACCAAACATGCACGGCATTCTGTAAACACTGCAAAAGAATACAGAGAAGAGAGCAGGACCATTCATAAAAACTGACATGTAGCCGTTTCATTTCACAAGTAAAAATTGTTGGGTTTGGGGTTTTTTTCTTTTTACTGCACTTTTTCTTAGAACACATTTTAACAATGATGACTATGGTACTTCTGAATTTTATCCATGTAAAACTTTACCCAATCATCTGTTGCTGAACTCAAATTGCACAAAGGGCAAACAACCATGAAATAAGTTAAAACACAGAAGAAAGAGCAAATAATGATTAGCAAACATGCTTCAGCAGATCCCAAAATTGCAAGTGCCATAACCTTTTTTACTGCAAAACAATCATTTTCACACAGTTAGCCACAGTAGTAAATACATTCAGTATATTTCACAATAAACTTTAATTGATGAATATGCCACTAGACTTTTGAGTTTCTAAGAAGCAGGAGACTTCTTTCAGAACAATTTGCCAATTCTCTCTTATTTTATAGCAAACAGCTTAATGCTTTTGAAAATAAAAATGAATATAAATGTAAAGCCACAGGAGGTCTCTATTTAATTGGCTCTCTATAGTTTCTGAACTATATTTTGGAGCCCGTTATGGCATGTATTAAACATACTCTTTAAAATAAACTTGATTTCCTCAATGGTCTTACCTCAGTATACTTAAGAACATGGGCTGTAGAAGGAACACAGCTTTCATGAATAGACATAGTTCCTAGGCAATACAGAGCACAGAGATATTACAGAGATGTAATTTACATTCCCCTTGGAGAACTGCATCTAAACACCTCTAAGTAGTAAATCTCTGGTATTCACTGTGATGTGTATGGAGAATGGGTTGCTCCATGCTTAAGCCTTTTTGGGCCTTCCTTCATTTTCAGGCTCTCAAATACCTTTTGAGCAGTTACCCCAATTGCAACTTCCCAGCAACATTGGGGTAACATTTCTAGGGACATGTATCAAGTTACCAAAAGGTTGAATGAGTAGGGTTCTCAGCAAACCCCAGACAGTATACATGACCACAATGTTACAACCATTGATGCGGCTGTCTCCAAATCCAGAGGTGTCTCCTCACCCAGATGTGGCCTAGGAGTAGGTTTTACCCTTGACTGATCTTGCTTTTACATTGATAGGAAAACAAACAAACAAAACCTGTTCTGAAGTTGGAATCTGGCTTTTAATGCCTCATACAAAAGGATCTATGTGTAAAAATTTATTCAGAAGGGACAAGCAAGTCAATATTGAAATCAACATAGGGACAACTTTTCTGCCTAAGCAGACATCTTCTGCCTAAGGACAGAAACACAGGACGTTTTCTGCCTACGCAGATACTTTGTCATTAGAATATCCCATGGCTTTTAAAAACTGGGTTGAAGTGGATTACTGCTCATCTTACAGTACTTTTAGTAACTGTGTTCATATGCTCTAGCAACTCTTGAATAAAGAGATCTGAGACAAACAAGATATTATTTTTTCCATAAAGAACATAATTAAACATGGAATTCACAGCCACAAGGGATTGTGGAGGCTGAAAGAAACCATGAGTTCAAAAATGGAGAAATTCCTGGAGAAAAATGGAGTCACCTTATCTGTTCTTTGTTTCACACCATCTGTTGGTGGCTGCTGCGGGAGGCAGGGTACAGGGCTAGAAACATCTTTGGTTCTGATCCACACCGATAGTTCTTAGGACAATGTACATCATTAGTAGGATATTGTCATACATATTTATTAACTGCAAAACATACTTTACATACTTGCATCTTATTCATAAAGACAGCTTTTGTCAAGGAAATTCAGTATGGTACATTAAATTTGTAAAACTACGGTGTAAAAAGAGTTACATTTTCACTTAAGCATATATCTCTTACTATAATTTTTCATCGCTACCATCACAACTGCCAGGAAAAGAAAGGTACAAAAAAATAATTCAACTAAACAGATATACATAAACTTTATTTAAGAAACAAACAAAAGCTGTTTTCCATTTAAATCTAGTGAATCTCCCTTACCTTGTTGGATCAACTATCAAAATTATACAAAGCTTCTAAAGTCTGTAAACTTTCTGGTTATAGAGCAGACATATGCATCCGCAGATTATTAGAATTATCCTGGGATAATTCAAGGAGGCTTACACTAGGTTACTTGATATAATGGCAATGGTTAAACAAACACCTAATATACCAGATTGCTGCAATCTTAAAGCAGGAAACTGAGGAGTTGACTAAGCCAGAAAACAGCTCTTAAAGGGTTATTGCAAGTATTTTTAGCCTCCTTCAGGATTACATCTTTAAATATGAGCAGTATGAACACCAAGAGCTCAGTTCTGCTCCTAGATAAGTGCACAAGTGTAACTGCTCTTAAAATCTGGATGGTCTGTGGTGCACACCTCACTTACCCAAACTGTCAGTCTCTATGCCAATAGTTTCAGCAACTGAGGCACAGTTACATCCCACATAGTAGAGCACAGAGATGTAATTAATGTTAAAGTGCTGCATTTTTGCATGATATGTGTGTACTCAGTAACATATTGTCCAGTTTTGCATTCATATCCCCTCATTATAGGATACTTGAATTCACAGGTGTGTGTATATATACACTACTCCCACTTAAAAGTACCAGAGACTACTCAGATGTACTTATAAGGAAATAACCCCTGTATGGGAGTGAATAGCTCAGATTCCAATAAAACACTTGGCCAAAATACATTATTGTAGCAAGTACACAGAAATCCCTGAGTACTTAAGTATATAGCAAGATAAACCCAAGTTTAACAGTGAGTAAATATCCTGGCTTTCCTTGCTCATCCTCAGTTTCTGAAGTAATGGTAAAAAGTACTGGCCTTTACAAGAATACAGTATTATAAAATATGTTGTACTGTAAGCCTGAAAGCCAACACTCAGAAACATCAAGCATGGAGTGCTTCTGGTTGCTAAGGCCATGCTTCTGTAATGAAATGCACACAATGCACCCATTTACCTATGGGATGCTACACAGTATGATAGCCCTGCAATGAATCCTTCTTTTAATCACTTGCAGCATCACAAGAAACAACTCTATGAAAAGAATTATAAACCATTGCATTTAACATAGAGCAGAATTTGCTAGTTAGAGCTGAACTGTCCCACGGGAATAATTCTGTTGATAAAGCTACCAAAGATTACAGAGTGCAGGAGTCCACCTGACACAAAAAACTTCACTTAGCTAATGCCCATAGTTCTTCATAGGTATGTCACTACTTTTCTGACTTCTCTGAAAACTGGCAGAAATAGACTGAGTTGTGGATTAAAAAAAAAAAAAAATAAAAATTGCAGTTAATAAAGATATGAGTCCCAAAGTTCCCAACTGCATTTTCAGATACACTAGGCCCTTAACGCAGACAACCCTGACAGATTAAAACCACATTAAGTACTTAATTACGAGTGGAGAACCAGCAAGCATGTGTAGGTGAAAGCTGTGTCACAGTAACAGAATACCGTACTGCAGAGAAATCATTTGGATGCACATCCCAAGAGCTTCCTGGGTTAAAAATAGAGCAAGATTTCTTTTTTTGTGTGTGCGTAACAAAAAGACAAAAGATCTCCTGAGGTCATCGATGTTCCATCAAATTACAGTATAAATATAATTACATTCCCAACATCCCTTATGTCACTTGAACACTACATTTTGAAGTGTTTAATATTAAAATCCATCAATTGAAGGCTCTGTTCCTTACAGTTATATTATTACACACATTTTCCCTATGCCATTAAAGAAATAACTAGAAAAACCGCTATCAAGTTAGCATGGTTAGGCACTCAAGATTTAAAAAGTCACAGGCAGAATATAAAGCTGTCCTCCCTGTGCATACAAGTCAGGTCAAGTCAAGTCCTTAACTACATGGACCAATTTTATCTTAGCATTTCCTTACCCCTTCTGCTCTGAAGGTCAGAGGAAATATGAACAAGGGGATCCTAGTTCAAGCCCATGGTATTGTGAAAGGCTCCTAAGCACCTTTTCAGATTTCAAGGAAGGAATTCTCTGGGGCATTTCTACTCAGACAGACTTAGTGTCTCCTTGAGCAATTTGAGTTACCCTTAAAAAAATCCACATATATACTTTCCTTTCCTTACAAGTCAGCACAGGATAAGGAGGGATAAATCTTCCTTCTTCCCTGCCTCTTTAGGATGGGACAAAGCCTAATCTTTGTCCATGGGTACCAAGATCTCTAACTACCATGCTATTTAATCCCAAGAAAGAATTCTACCTATGGAAAGCAATGGAGGATGCACTGCCATGATGGGAATTAGCAAAACAGAAAAACAAAGACGTTTCGACTATGCTCTGAAACTCCTGAACACTTTGTCATTTTGAGTTATAAGACTTGAATAAAGTCCTGTAGCCCTCTGACACTCAAACTGTAGTCAGCGACTTGCCTCATGACATTTCATCAAAAATACATTAAAGGCAGTGGATAATATATATACTTTTAAATAGAAAATACATATAGAACTTTTAGACTATTTTAGGACTGTAGAAAGTGTAAGTTCTACCTGCATTATTTTTTAATTCATATTCTACAGAAGTTGCTGGGTACTATCTTGTTTGACTGGCATGAAGTAAGACAAGGCTACTTGGGGACAGCAGACAGTCCTTCAGTGAAGAAAGTTGGGAAAGATCTTAATTGCAAAATTCCTACAGGCTGGGCTCCAGCTGGGCCAGCAGACTGGCCTGCCTCTATCAGCTGATGATCAAACTAACATTAAATTGTGAAAGACCTCAGATTGAAAGCAAAGAGAGGAAACAGCTGGAAGGAAGCATCAGGGCTGTATTTCTCCCCCAGAGCAGCAACAAGATTTCAGCGCTGTGCAGACCCTACATAAAACTGGCCAAGAAACATCCAAGTTCAGGTAAGATCCAGCTGGACAGGCATGGGGACATTTTCTCTGATGGCTTTGATGATTAAGCAGTTAAGTTTTGTGGTGAGGAGACTGCTTTTCAGCTGTCCAGAGGCTTTCCAGGTGCTGAACCCAGCTGGGGGACTTGTTTTATTACAGCTGATCAACAGAAGGCCTTCACAATGAAACCAAATCTGAGTGATCAAAGAAACACCCCTCTCCTCCAAATTAGTATTACTAACAAATGAGTCAAGAGAAGAGAGAACTTCACATGGGCTAAAAGAAGTCTAAAGTGCAACTTCCCTTGTACCCAGAAGCTGCAGATACAGTTTCATTGTAAGTTAAACTTTTATTCAATGTACAGTGATACCCAGCTGCATAGGACATTTTGATATCTGTTATGTCTCCAACGAGGATGCTGATTTAAGGTAAAAGATGTTGTGCAAATACTGCTGTTAAACATGAACATAATTCCTAAAAAATATCCACTAGGGAAAAAACTGTGCTCTTGAAATAATTTGGAGTCATTTCATAAAATGAAATCAACACTTAAAGCATATTAAAAGAAACTTTAAAGTTCTGATGTTCCAAGGCTTTCTAGTAAGTTATACCTTTTTTGTTTTTAAATACTAGATGGATTCAATGGCAAAAAAATAGATAAGATTTTCTATGCAGTCTGTCTGGAAAAGATAATTTCTTAGATTTGGATATACATGATTGTTTTTAAGAGCCACATCTGGTTGACTGCTGATAAACTGAGCTTGAAAAAAATAAAATTCATTAACCTAACAGAAGCCTAATCTGATGCATCTGCAACAAGCACAGTCTCATGAACATTTCATACAACACTGGATGGGAATTTCACCCAAAATAAAGGAGCAAGGAGTAATTTGCTCATTCAATATGAAACATAATGATTTTTAATCTCAGACTCATTATTTGAGCTTATCCTTGGTTTTTGTGGTGGTCCCCCCCTGTAAGTGTATCCTTATCAAGGTTATCTTGCAGATCTGCTAATGTGTTATTTGAGGAATTCTCGGTGTCACATAAATCTTTCTCTTTAGTGCCTGGGTGATTTCCACAGTCACTGTTCAGACCTTCATCATCTTTTTTGGAATGAGAAGTGTCCTCCTTTCTGTCTGAAGCACCTTGAACGTCTTCTGATTTTGAAAGCTGACCGCTATCAGTATCACTGTTCTTTTCACTGTTGTTCTGCCTAACAGCATCACAGTTCATTTCTTGGTCATCCTGGTCATTTTCTTCCTCATTTTTTGTGAGTTCTACCTTTCTTTCTTCAGTTGTTTTACCAGCTGAGCTTCCACTTGCCGATGTATTCTTAGGCTCTTTTGGTTTCTTATGCTTAGAAATACAACTATTGTGAATAGAAATTGGAGATGCTGGCTTTTTATTTGTTTTGCTTCCCTCCAACTTCTGTTTTCTTGGGGGTCCCCAGATAAAATGCTCCGAGGGTGTATAATGTTGCTGAGCGAACCTCAGGAGTTTCCTCCTTTCTCTTCGGTCTCTAATAGTATACACAAAATATTCTAGAGCACTTTGCTTAATGTTGGGAATAGTATCTTCCACAAGAGCTTCACGGAGAATAAATTTTACCAGGGGAGATTTAAAACTCTCATATCCAAGCTCTCCAAGACTTTTCAGAATTCGAGTGATTCTCAAGTAGTTGTGTTGAGACCTTTGGAAGAAAAGGGTGAAAAAATCCCATTGAATCAGGGGAAAAAAGAAAAACTAACCCACCTTACAGATACAGAGCTGGAATAGCAATTCCTCAGTCCTTTTTATCTCTCCAGGTGTGTACTTCAGGCTTCCTGTACTTTAATTTCTCACAGCTGCTGAAGCTTGCTAGCACCTCCTTTGCTAGGACATTGTGAGTGAAAATTAGTGTCTGTACAGTGCAATGAGGCAACAGGCAAAAAAAAAAACATAAAATCAAAAGTCTGTACTGATTTTGATTCCTTCTTCTGTATGTGCTCTTTCTAAGGAGAAACCCAGTTATTTTATATAATAAGAATTTTGAAGTGTATTGCAGTAATACAGCTATGGAACAGGATTCATTGCACTTCATTTAAGCTATCTGAAAGCTGGGTCTCCAACCTAGAGTAGCTACCTGCACTTCTCATACAGTCAGTGCTGGAAGAAAACCAGGCACCTCTGGAGAGCAAGTCCCACTGTTGTAAGAAATGTCTAAGACAAATGGAATGAACTATATTCTGGAAGTTCTTGTGAAGGGACCTTTCTCCCATAACGTACATATAAGTAAACAGTAAAACTTGAATGTGTACGTTTCAGATGGCTAAAATTAGGTAAAAAAACGTCCCAATTCATGACTTAAAACTGTGTACGTTTCAGATGGCTAAAATTAGGTAAAAAAACATCCCAGTTCATGACTTAAAACTGTGTAGCTAGTCACTGATGAGAATACAGGAATTACACTGTAAAAATGTGCTGCGAGTAACATTTGGGCTTCCCAAAACCTTTTTTCATCTGTGTTCTGAATCTGAGCCCACACCCATATTGGCTCATATAATATTTAAGTAAAACTAATAAAAAATTATTCCTATTATTCACCCAAAATTATTGATCAGCAATACAAGCTTTGGGAGAAGAAAATACTGCAACAAAGCAATCTCCAGCTCTAAGGTCAGAAATATTTGGAAAGAGATCACAAGATTTGAAGAGAGATTTTGAAACAATTAATCAGCATGGGACAAAATTCAGTGCAAACTTATGCTCCACACAATACTGATGAAAAGCGACAGAAGTAATTTGCTGAAAGTTGGGTTGAAGTTTGACTTAATGCATATCTAAACCTCTCCAGTTAAGCACTGCAACCAAAAAGTACTAAACATATAGTATTTCATGGTTTGAGGAGGGAGGGAAATCTTGTTATTTAGTTTCCATAAAGGTGTGAAGAATTTTAATTTTCTCAAAAAGAAATGTGAATACAAAGATAAGCCACTTGTTCTTTCCAATTGTGAAGCAGCACTTTGGAAACAGGTGAAAATTCATTTGGTAGCATGACAAACAAATTAATTTAACTGTGATCTTCTCCAGCAGCACCTAAACTTGTATTTTCAGATAATTCCATATATTGGTTAGATTGGTAGTGGGCAAGAGACATAATTAAAAAAAACAAAAAAAAAGGGGGGGAAGGAGAAATGTACATACAGACACAAACCAGGCATTGCCTATTTCTTTTTCTGTTTTTCCTGGCAATCTTTGGAAAATATATCTTCCCTTTCTCTACAAAAGAAAAGAGTAAAGAGATTCTGTGGCAGTTCTAGAGTGGAGTGCATGTCATTACTTACTCATTCAAATGCTGAAATCTTTCTTGCCAGTTAGCAGCTCGTGCTACGTTTCCAGTTTTATCAATTAGCTTTATACCAAAAAACTCCAACATCATTTTGTAAGCCAAAAGGAATCTTCTAATTGCTTCTTTCGTTTTCTTGAATTCCTAATAAACAAAGAATAAGTCCAAACTTTTAAGTGGCACTAAAGCAAGTACTTCTACATTGTATAAAACAACTCTACCTAACAAAAAGCAGGTATGTATCAAAATTAATGTGATAGTTTGTATGGAGCTCAATTTGTATTACCTCAATTTCATATGTAGTTAATTCCTTAGCATAGAAGTTCAGACCTTGCTCCCTCAGTGGAAAAAGCCTGTTAAAAGAAAAAGCACATTGCAGCTCATACTACATGAACACTTACTCAAATTAATGCTTTGAAACAGAAATAGGTAATAAATGACAAACCACTGTATGTAAGTGTGGTTATGTTCCAGTTTTTCATAGTCTCCTTTCCACTTATTTAGGACTTCTTCAATATAAACCCCTGCATAAAAACAATTTGAAAACTGTTAAGTAGCCATCAAAACCAGTATTCAGCTACATAAAGTACATGCTGTGTTAACATAATGATACAATACATACTTTAATTCTCTTTCACATACTACTTTTTCACATACTCACTAGGTCTATTAAAGCCATTAAAAAAAAAAATAAAAATTATTTTAGTTACTAAAACTTAATTAAAAGTGAGAGATTTATCAAATTTCAAGACAAAAAAACGTTATGCTAGGTTACCTGCCGGCAGAGGGTATGTGACAATAACCTCTGTAAATTATACTTCTCATGTCCTAGATCCCTTTATCAGACCGAATAATAATTAACAAACCACTACTCCATTGTGAATCAATATCTCTGCTTTAACATGACAAAACTCTGCATATATAATACATATATCTCGTCCTAGTAGGACAAAGCCTCAACTCTTCAAGAAGTCTCCCATTCCAGGCATCTCTCCATCTGCAAATAACATTATGACTGGGAAATCTTTCTCAATTAGCTGTGGCCAAGAATCCTGCTGCCATTACTATAGGTTTGAACTTGGGTTCTCAGGTCATGCTCAACAAATAAGAATTTCAACTTCTAGTGGTCTGAAAACAATTGTGAAGTTTAGTCGGTTCCTCTTGGAAAGGCACAGTGATAGAAAAACGGGACAAATTAAATGTGAAAAGCAATTAATCATTCTTTGCACCGAGACCATCTTATGAAGTTCAGTCAAGGGCCAGGGTACATTTCTGAGTACCTGCACAAATATACAAAGTACATAAAATGATGTTCCTTGTCCCAAAATCTGCACGGTCTCCTTCCATGAATAAACACTCAGCATCAGCCTGTTTCCACTCTGAAACCAAAAAGTTTCACCACTGCTGCACGGCCCTTCCCAAAGTCAAATAGCATAGGAGTGGTCTAAAAAATTCGAAGCCCCATGCAGACAGTGTCCTATTGCACACTCGAGATCTCTCCCTCCGCAGTGAAAATTTCCACTTGGGTCTCAATGACAAAGGAAAACTTGTTTGGTACTTTTCTTCAAGAAAGGGAGAAAGCAGACAGTCAAAGGGGCTAAGAACATGGGGTTTCCACTACAGATGAGGCTAGAAAAGGACCTTGCAAAGAGGACCTCCCAGCACCAACATACTGTATCCAACCTGTGTTTCAAGTCTTGGAAAACTTGCTGCTCAGGGCAGAGAAACAAACAGGCCAGTTTTGAGTCAGAACCACAAGCAGAATCTGTAGGTCATGGAATTAAAATTCTGTCATGGTTTAACCCCAGATGGCAACTAAGCACCACACAGCTGCTCACCCACCCCCACCCTGCAAAGGGATGGGGAGCAGAATCGGAAAAAAAGAAAACAAGTAAAAGCCATGGGTTAAGAACAGTTTAATATTTGACATAAAGTACAATACTAATGGTACTACTAATAGCAATGAAAAGGGAAATAATAAGGATAAAGATATTAAAAAGGGGGGAGAAGGGGGGGGGGGATGGGAAAGGCAGAAAAAAAACCAAACAGTGATGCACAATACAACTGCTCACCACCCGCTGACCAATACCCAGCCTGACCCAAGCAGCAATCAGTCCCTTCCGGGTAACTCCCCCCAGTTTATATATTGGGCATGATGTGCTGTGGTATGGAATACCATTCTGGCTAGTTTGGGTCAGGTGCCCTGTCTCTGCTTCCTCCTGGCTTCTCGTGCCTCTCCTCACTGGCAGAGCATAAGAGACTGAAAAGTCCTTGATCAGGGTAAGTGCTACTCAGCAACAGCTAAAACATGGGTGTGTTATGAGCACTGTTCTCAGACTAAAGCCAAAACACAACACTGCACCAGCTACTAGGAAGAAAATTAACTTGATCCCAGCCAAAACCAGAAAAATTTCAGATCTAATATTGTATTAGAAATGTTTTTAGTAACATTCCCCAGTAATTCTGTCCCTAATATGGTAGCTTAGACTCCCTCTGAACAGTCTCACAGATCCACAGACTTATGTCAAGGTGGTGGCTACTCATTCTCAGTGAGGAATTCTGTATAACCAGAGCTCGCAGCCATCAACGCTTCAGCCTCCATGGCTTATTAGCTACCTTTGACACTACCAACTGTGGTTTTCTCCTGAAGTATTAAGAGAAATTTTATTCTTGACAAATTTTAGGAGGGAAGTCCTCCTCTAGCTTTCATGACTATCTCTTCCTATGGCTAATCCTATTGAATTGCTCCTTCATTCTGCACTTTAAAGGATCCCCCCAACATTTTCTGGCTTTTAGTTTCAGGTTCATGTGGTCCTCAGGTTCCCAAGGACCTCAGTGCTCTTCTTTTCCTTTCTATGTCTGTTCTCTGTGTAATGTCTCCCAAATTTGCTACTTCTGTATTGGTAATTCACAGATCTAACTCTTCTTCCAGTCAAGCTAAAAATGCAGCATCTGCCTGCAGACATCTAGAGAAAGCTCAAGATGATTAGAACAAAGGTCTTATCATTCTTTCACAAAACCTGTTTTCTCACTTGCTGAAGATATTATCACTATCTTGCCTATAAACAGCTGTCATCTTCAACCTTCCTATATATACATCTTTATATCCTTCTGTGTAACATCCCATCCAGCTTCCTATCAGAACTGTGACATTTTGCATCTCAACATCCTTTTTCCTGACCTTGAAAAGTGCCCTCCTGTCACACTTACATCTACCTTGAATGCTGCTGGTATGATCATATTTCTAGACCACAGCTTTTTTATACTGCCTCTTTTTTGCTTTGCATTCTTCTAATGTGAAACCCTTTTCTGCAAATTCAAGCAAGAACTATATGCCTTCAATCCCAAAGCCTTTTGTGACCTGCCCCTTGCTACCTTATGAGAACCCACCTGCTGCTATGAGACTGATCCTGCCTCTGACAGGATCCTGCCTTGGTGACAGCCTCCACATCTTGCTTCTGCCCTCCCGTGTACACGCTGGTAGCTCCTCCCAAGCTGCTCTCATGCTCAGAGGACCTTTCCGCAAACACCTTCAGAGTAACCTCCTCATAATTTTTAGAACTCTCAAAAGCTATTTTTTGGCCTGCAAAAATTTTTTTACCAGTGGCTAAGCTCTCATGTACTGAGGCTCTTGCCTATCATTCTAACCAAGACTGTTTTATTGCCTCCGTCTGCTTCCCCATCTGTCTGCTACCCTCTTGTCTCTCATACTTCGACTGCAAACTCTCTAAAGCAAGGTTTGTCGTCTTTCAGCTCGTCCTCTTTGTGTAGAACCTTGCATTTGAGGTTCCTGCTCCACCACCTGAGCCACTAGAGACTTAGAGAAACTGTTTTATTATTGTTATTACAATAATCTCACAGAAGGTAGTTACAACATACTCTTTTTCCCTTACACAGTGCTAGGGATAACACCCTGATTCCTGCCACTTCTAATCACACAGCAACAGTTTGTGCAGCATAACAGAATAACTTTATCTTTGTTTAATAAAAAGCAGTGCCACTACTATGAAGCAGTGGTGCAAACAACGCCCTGTGTGACATCATGCTGAAAACGCATGAGAAAAGCACCACCTCCCTAGAACACAAGCTAACTCTGGTTTAAGCATAACCTGCTCCAGTGTTATCAATATGCTCCTCCAACACAGAAGGTTCAAGTTATACAATATTTAACTATATACCTTCAATTTTTTCAGCACTGCAATTATCACTACAGTATCACTTTGTTACTATCATTAGTGAGCATTCTTTTGTTATCACTATTATTGCCACATATTACTCACCATCAGGTTTAAACGGGATTTTATTTTTGTAAAAGCGGAGATTGCACAAATCATTCTGATATCGAAGATCTTTAAAGTTCTGCTGAAAGAAGAGAAATATGACATTATCACCCTACAAAAACCTAACAAGAGTATCCAGAAAGCAATATTATGTTCTTTGAATAATCTGAGGACAAAAGATGTTCAGAGTTTTAGGAACCACAGTTTTACTCATGCACTTAAAGACTCAGGTTAAGGGTCTGCAAGTTCCTTCTGGCTGCTACCTTCTGCTGAGGCCAAGGTCTGAGCAGCAAGCAGAGCAGCACCTTGACTCAGGTCTCAACAAATCTGAAAGATAAATAAGAAGCCCCAAGTCTGTAATCTATCCTCTTTGACATTAAAGGCATGAGCCTTTTTACGGGCTCCTACCACTGCTCCCGGGCTTACACATCTCACATGTTTGCACACATGCCTTGAATGAAAAGATGTTGCCCTGGTTTCACTCCTGTCCCATGCTGGGCCTCTGCATCAGCTTTTTGATTCTCATTTTTTATTCCTCATATTCACCAGGCACCACAAAGTTTTAGGAATATTTGGGTTGTATGCCGTCTCCTACTAAAAAGGCAGTTTAAAACCATAAAATATTCTTACTGGATACTGGTGTCGGTACTTGTATAAATCTCTTGCTGCATAGAAGCTTCTTTTCGGTTTGGCTGTCAGCTCAGTTCCATCACCACTCTGAAACAGTTATGAAGTAGGTAATAACCATACACAAACAGATTATATACCAAATTTGTGTAATATTCAAATAATTATTTTTCACAATGGATTTCAGCAATGTAAACTAACATAAGTGCATATACTTTGCTCACTGTTTGGTCAAACACTGAAGCCTCCCTGCTGAATACCTAACAACATGCACTTTTAACATAAATTTAAAAATCAAAATAAAATTCAAAAGCAAGGCTATAACATGGCCTTCCAATTAGACTGAATTTGATTTAAATCAACAGGTTGATCATAGTTTCCAAATGCAAGACTTCAAAGTAACCTTGCAAGTATTAGCACAAGGTGAAGTAAATAACTGAACATGAAAATGCAGAGACACTACTCATTTTGAATGGGAAATCAAACTATTTGCAAAGACTATTTGTCATGTGTACATTGACTTAATTGCTATCTTTGCATCATGTGGAAGAAAATGAATAGTCATGGACAAGCCATACTGCAGTTGTAACACCTTCTTGCACCATTTTCTATTATTAGTTTTCTCAGAACTTAAATTTAAAACCTAGTAAGAAGAACCATTAAGGCCCAAAATAAAAATGTGCTTAGAGAAAACACACATGTACAAGAACTTGTACTAGTCCCCAGATGTTTGAAAGCTGTGACCTAAAGCAACCAAAGCCCATCAGGGTCAATGAAAATAATCTCACTAAGTTCAGAGAACACTTGAAAAAGCTGCATGCACTGAAGAATATCAGGAAATGAAGCATTACCATGCAGACTTCAACTTGCTACCAACAACTTCATTTTCTTTGCAATTTCTTTATAACCAAACTGCAATGAAGAGTTTTGTATCCTTCAATCTCACAGAATAAGCCTCTACAACTAAAACCAAGGGCCGAATTACTACAAAAATTCATTCCACTGCTTTCAATACACATGTGACAGGTTAAAGTCAAGCCTAAAAAGGGAAGTACCCTGTGACTGCACTGGACATCTGTATTATTGCCACTGCTTATCAATAGCATATTAACAACAAACAGGGATGTGTTTTCATTCTTCCTTTTGGAAGACCAGCTCTGACCATATTACAGACAAAACACACTTTCCTGAACAAGCAATACCCTTTGACACCCAGTCAGAAGGCATCAGTATCACCAGCTATCAAGCAGAAAAGTGAAAAATGCTGATGCTTATTTAATTTCACACCGTTTCTGAACAGTAAACGTTATACATCTAACAGGCTAAAAGAAAGACCAAACTAGCCCAGCCTGCATTCAATTCTGACTCCGATTAAATTATTGCCAAAGCACCCCTTTATCTCCTTAGGGTCAACATTCTCAGAGGTTCCTAAAAGGCAGAAACTTGCTCTGAAAATTCCTCACCTCAGGCCCACTGAGAAGTCACAAATCCATTGCCACCTACGATCCAACACTCAGCTTTTTAACCCATTTAATTAGAGGCCAAGTTCCAGACTACATCTGATGCAAAGCAGAACCTTCCCTACAAACATCAGTGGCGGGACTAGCAACGACCTCAAGGCCCGTTTTCTCCCAAGAGCAGGTAACCGTAAGCGGAGGGAGGACGGGACATGGGCTCATTTGTACTCCAGATGCGGGGCCAGTTCATCACATGCCGCTCCAAGCCATGGGAAGCATTCCGCGCCGCCCCAGCCGCCCGGGCCCGCGCCCCGGCCGGCCGGTGCCGCAGAGCTGGGTGGTGGGAGGGAGCGGGGCTGCCCCGGCCCGGCCAGTCCCTGAGGCTTGGCGAGACGAGACGAGACGAGGCTCTGTGGGACAGCGGCAGTAGCGCCTTGCCCGGCCCGGAGCCGAGGCCAGCACCAAGTACGGGCCGTACCGACCGCCCCTCACCCTGCCTCAGCCTCCCCGCAGCGGCAGCTTCTCCCGGCGCCGGCGGTACCTGCTCGGGGCTAGCGGCGTCCGGCTCCGCCCGCTCGCCCTCCTCCGGAGCAGGGGACGGTGGCAGCGGGGGCTCCTGCGGCCGGCAGTCTGCTGCGGGCAGCTCAGCCAGCTCTTCCCCGCCTCCCGCGGCGGTGCACACCCCCTCCTGCCGCCGCGGCTCCCCGCCGGGCTCCGCCGCCTCGGGCTCCGAGTCTGTCTCCCAGGTGGAGTCGCAGTCCTCCACCGTGGTGGGCTCCTTGAAGCTGACCCCGCTCAGCAGGCTGCCCATCGGGCAGGGCAGGGCCCGCCGCCGCCGCGCCGCCCGGAGGCCGCGGAGGCCGACGGCTGGTTGCGGCCGCGGGCTGCCTACGGCTGCGGCATGGCGGGGCGGGGCGGCGGTCGGGGCTGCTCCCCCGCCCGCCCCGGCACACGGACACGCGTAGGGCGGAGCTGGAGGCGCCGGGGTTTCCACAGGAGGCACGCACGTCCAGTCCCGGCCTGCCCAGCCCCGGCGGCGGGCCCTGGCGGGAGCGGGCACCGCTCGCCTGGCCTGGGACTGGGGCGGTCCTGGGGAAAAGAGGGAGGTGGCGGCAGAGACCCCGAGGGGTTTTCTCTTCTCGATGGAGACCTCGGTGACTCCTAAAGGGTTACGAGAAAAGCGAGGGGGTGCGGGTGTTCATGGAGAGGAGCGGGCATAGCACCTGCCCCGCAGCAGCGGTCTGTGGAGAAGCAGTGACAGAAGTCTGTGACAGAAGCAGTTCTATTACCAGCAGTGTGCAAGCACGGGCTGCCCACTGGACATGGGAAGGGCTGCTGTGGGGTGCACCTCAAGGAATGTACAGGTGCCAAAGGAAACAGGAATGGAGGGGTCAACAGTGTGGTAACCAGCCAGTATCAGTTGCTCATAAAACCCCTGGTCGTTTGGGGATAAAGCTGACATGACTTTCAAGGATGGATTTGGCAGGGGCAGCATGTTTTGTATTTGGCTAGAGCGTGCCGGAAATGCTGTCTGGAGTGAAGACCTGACGAGCTGAAGGCTTAGCGCGTCGTTCCAGTGGCTGCTCTCGCCCTTCTGATTAAAAATGTGTTCTTCATTTCTGACCAGAGTCATTCAGTTCACACTTATGGCTCTGCCTTTTCCTTAAAGACAGTTTTGTGGTGTTCTCTCCTTGGGAAACAAAACAGGTTAAGTTTCTTCAGCCTATCACCATAAATTACCTTCCCCATTCTCTCACTCATTTTTGTGCTGCCTTTTTTCTGCTTCAATGTTTCAGTGTCCTTTTCAAGTGCAGGTGCCACTATATTAACTGGATATCAGGATCATCAGTGTAGAGGTGATACCATCTATATATTCTTGCTTTCACTTTCACGGACACCCCCTTGTTGTGGGGAAAGAGCTTGCGTGCCCTTGTGAGGTTGGGAGCTATGCTGGTGGTGGCATATGCCTCTGGTAGGGTCTCCCATGCCAGACAGGTCTCAACTGAAGGGTCAGGCAAAGTGTGTCCATGGGTGGGATGGGCTCACTAGCCTTTGGGCAACATCCTAGGAGAAGGTCAACTCTAACTTCAAACCCGGGCAGATGGAGCTCGTTTAGCCCTGTAAGGCCATCCATCTAAGAGAAGGACACTCTAACCAAACCTAGCACCTGAGGACTTTGCTGTCACTGTCCAAGCCTGCTAGGCCCTGGCAGATAAACCTCAGGTGTAAAGGGTGGGGCCAGTTCTGCCCATGCTGTGCCTCACCCAAAAAATCCACTGTGGAGGCTCGAAGGGTTTACTCACGCTTGCAAAGCCCTATAGCAACAGGCGAGGGACGAAATGGGAGGTGATAAGATGCACTGGAAGCTTCAGACCCAATCCTGCATGCAGGCGGTTCAGGACATTGGTCGCTCCATAATGCCATTGTCTCCTTTGAGAACTCACACAGAACTAGTCTCGAGGGGAAAAGACAACATAGAAAGAATCGTGCCCCACCTATACCACCCAAGGAGACCTTTCACTGTGCTTTCTGCAGTCGGATTTGCCTATCCCACATTGGCCTTTTTAGTCATCAGTGTGCTTGTAGTAAGCTTGGATAAAGCCCTTCCCAAATCTTCATTCACAAAGTCAAGCCATGATGATAATGATGATGACTCTTGCTTCCCAATCCACCCTTTACGAACTGAGAGATCATTTTAACTCAAGCTGCCACAGCGACATGCTTAGATGCATTAATATCATTCTCACGGGTAGCCCTCCTTCAGGTCCGTTTGCAGTGTGCAAGCTACACTCACTGACACCGAGGACAGGAAATTACCGGGAATGCTCTGGTGGTCAGGCCTCGGTTCAGGCAAGTTAGTTTCCAGTTGTAGCTCACCTAGGTGCAGCCATGGCTGCATGGTTGAGCTACAGCTCAGTCCACCTGAGGTGCCCATGTCTCTGCCTAACCCCACCATCATCTGCCTTGTCTGAGACAATTCTCCTCCTCGTCAGCTCTCCATGGAGGTTAACAAAGCCCTTTCATCCTTTCCAAGACCCCTTAGTCAGCATCATGCCAGCTGTGGCACTTCTCAGGACCCAGCTACTTCCATTCAGGCCAAGATTAAACCTGGTGGTCCCAGCCAAGACCCCACCCCGACATTCATCCTATCCCCCTCCTTCTCTATTTTAGCCAGTAGTGTAGGTGCCCCCTTTCCACAATAATGGCTGGGAAAACAAGTCAGATAATCTCACTGACTCTTCCAGTGCTGGAAATTGTCATTTAGGGATACTTATGGAAGGATTTAAGAAACAGGACATGTACTTACCAGCCTTTATTTTGACACATCTTCGCAGCTTATGGAAAACCAAAGCTTTAGAAACAGCCAGTGCAAAAGAATGTATATGAGTCTTCATTTTAATAGCCGTTAATGGACCTATTCCCACACTATTTACATATATTTTTGGCCTCTGTTACATCATGAAATGATGTTACATAGTTTAAATACATATTATTCCCATATATTTTAGGATTTTAAAAAATGCTATAATTTCATTTGGTACTAGTTAGTTCTTTTTGGTTATTTTTTTAATGAGAAATAGAATGTGATTGTTCCTTATTTGCCTCCATGCTATCTGGGATTTATAGACCTCTGTTAATTCCATACCTATTGTTTTCTTCCAAGATGCAAGGGCCTACCCTATTCAGTCTTACCTAGCATGAAGTCATTGCATTCCTCTCATTGCATTCCTGTGACCTTTCCCTGGATTCATTGCATTCCTGTGACCTTTCCCTTTAGGCTTTTTGAGGTCTATTGGAACATTTTGGAAGTGTGATACCCAGGAATTAGGGTGGTATACAGGAAGGGTCAGTCTCATTCTTGGCAGTGGACAGTGCTTTAATATAGAATAAAAAAGAAAAAACATCAAGAAGGTACAAAAAGGTGATAGGAGGGCAAGCAGTAAGGCTGGGTACCAGAGCTGCAGTTGGAGGAACAGCCTTTTATAAAACTCATGCTTATGTCTCATGTATTTGGAGAGCTCCCTTTTCTTTGGCCTTATTTGGAGCAAAGGCAGATTTGCTTCCTCTTTCTGCAATATCTCCTCCCACACTGTTGGCATAGTTTGGAGGAACTGACTTAAGAAATTCTGATGTCCGGAATCTGTTTGTCACGACTACCTGCTGACTAGCTACTTCAACTGACCAACATCAACTGGTCCCAGTATAGACCAGCTCTGCCTCCCCTCCCCTGCTACAGCCTTTGTCAATACTCCTGCACATTATGTTTATACTTGGGACAGCAAAGACACAAAAGTGTGCCTTGTGCATGCATCAAAAATCAGGTGAAGATTTTGATGATACTTAGTTTGCATGGCAATTAATCCCACAAACTAAAAAGCTTTCTATAAGAAAGCTCTGTCTCTTGTGCAAATAACTGTACCTTGTTATAAAAAGATCAGTTCTACCTGAAGTGCAAAGCTGTCAGCCAAATCTCATCATAGAGCTTTAGGAGGATTTTTAAAGGATCTAGATCTCAGACCACTGATGAGAACTGGGATTCATGTTAATTAGCTTGGTATTGCTGTGGGAAGCCAGTGCCAAGAGCAGAAGACTGCTTTTACTTACTTAGAGTAGTCCATGCTGCTGAGGTAATGTGATGGAGTTCCCTGAAGTACTGGCATGTATTTTTGAATTTTCATAAAGGTCGACAACCAGGTATACCACATTGCTTGCAATCTACGCAAGAAGTGAGAGAAGTGAGGCTGGCTTAAGCCTAATTGCCTGGTGGTTGATTGCCAGGGGCCAGGGTGGGGCAGGTTTTCGTTGCCAACCAAAGTGTTGTAAGGTGTTACTCACTGCTATAAAGGAGTTTATTATAAGCAGGTAGGCTGGAAGAAGTCTCAAATTAGAAACTGAATGGACTGAATGTTGGTGTGGCACTTTAAAATAAAATAAAATGTCACCAATGATGCAAGCCTTCAAAATGTTTCAAATACCCATAGAAATACTTTCCATTTTAGCTGGAGTTAGCGCTCATGCAATTCTTTTTCATCCTTTAGCTTATCATTGGTTTCTAAGTGAGTTTTCTCCAGAAAGGATGATTAAACAGCTCTTACATAGATCAGCATCCAGCAAAAATCACTAGTTGGAGAGCTATGGGGCATCCACATTGTGCTTATTGAGACCTGGCTGCACTGTTGTGCAGCTGAATGGGGAATGAAGAGTTCCTCCCCTGAAAGAGTCATCTGCTATTTTTGTCATCAGTTACTCACAGCCGTCTCTCAGCTGTCCAGAAGGGCATGGCTTGGACCTTCTGAGGTAAGAATACTCTAAATTTGGATGTGGTGCGGCAGATCTGCACTTTGCCATGTTTGTGCATTTTTCCAGTGAACAATGTCTTCTTTCACAGTTGCAGCTTACTGCTGGTTCTGGTTGTGAATTAGAGGCAGTCAGGATTCATGAAGGGGCTCTGGCACCTTACATAGCTTCTTAGGGTGGTATTTGAAAGGTTGAACAGATCCCCACATGACATATCTTAAAACCCAACCCAACCCAAAATATCTGTCAATTATCTGTCAATAAATATACATTTATATACATTTTAAACAGCACAGATAAGTATAAAAATACCTTTTTTTTTTTTTTCATAAGGACATGGTTTTGTAAGGACTCCAGAATTGAAACCACATCGCTTTGTGGAAGCTAATGCTGCATGTAGATCAGTGTGATAGCCGTAAGATTTTAATAAAAATTAAATACAAGGTAAGTGTAATCCTTCATCATTATCTTGGGAGGATGTTTTGAATAGGATACTAGTGAGGTCAATTAACAACTGTGGAGAGTCTTACCAACCTTATATTAAGGTGATAAAAAGCTGGGAGGGATTATGCCTCCTTAGAGGATACAAGTAGACTACAAAATCACTTTGACAAATGGCAGAAGAGGGCAAAATAAATAACGCTGGTAAAATTTAATTTAGTCGAGATACTGCAGAACGATTTGTAGTGGATACTTAAACAAACAAAGGTAGATTTTAGAAACACAGAAAGACAGCAATACAACA